ATAAATACAAATAGAAATACAACCTGGTCAGTCTGTTTACTGTATAATGTTACTTGTATGTGTCTGTTTCCAGGGCTTGCTCCCAGTCCAGAGATCTGCCATCTTTGCACCTGCCTAGCTCTTCTTTATATGCATCCTGATTATTTTTCTCTATTCACTCTTCACTGGGATAAGGGAAGTCAAATATTTCCCAAGATGCGATTCATAGAACCTGTTTTACTTTTTATTTTTTCTATTATTGAAGTGATACTCATAAACTGATCATTTAGACATTGGCAGTTTGTTAATTTTTTAAAAATTTTCATTACCTGTTTTCTTACAAAATATCAGTTCTCTTATTTTCTTAAGTATAGTCAAGTTTCTTTTGAACTCTATACTTGTTTAAAACAAGTACAAACAGACCATAAAGAGTTAGGGTTGATGCTAGCAGGTCATTGACAACTGGTTCCTCTTTGGACTCTTATAATAGAAGACTTTCACCTCAGCACAGTCAAGGTTAAATCAGAGAAGGAGAGAAATAGTTATTTAGTCCAATGCTCTTAGAGTATTGTTTTTTTAGGGGCTTGTTCCAAAACTCTGAGATTTATGCACCAAGAACACGCTTAGAATTCTCAGATAAAAGTTTTCCATCACTATGACAAACTGCCAGAGATTACAAAAGGTTGAGAGGAAAAAGCGGCTTCCTTTACTGGTTAGATGGGTGATCAAGGAAGGATGCTTGCTGCCGAGACTGATTCCTGTGGGAGGTGAGAGTGGACTTCTTCAAGTCATTTTCTGACCATGTTGCTCATGCTATAGCTTACCCATCCTCTTGTCCCACAAACAAACAAATGTAATTTCAAAGAAAAATAAATCAATTTGCTCCTTTCCCCCACTGTCTCCATGCCACAGTCCAGTTACCACCTTCTCATGGAAGTCCTTTGGCTCATTCCATAATCAGCACCCTCTTGCTATCTCTTATTGTTATGCCATTTCTCCTCTCCCTGCCCTCTTCTCCTTTGCCCCTATCACTTCCTTACTCAGCAAGCATTCATTTTCTATTTGTGTCCCACATTTGACAACAGAGCTCTGGGTTGCTATGTTTACTGCAGTGCTTATAACACTACCTGGGATGTGACTGGAATTCAAAAATATTTGTTGAATGGATGAAAGGTAAATAATGTCTCCTTTAAACAACAAAATAAAGTTAAAAACAATAACAACAACAACAAAAGGCCTCAATGCCCCTCCTTTGAGTATTATGACAATACTTTTGTGTTGAGGGAAAAAATCCTTTTCTATATCAAATTTGGCAAGGAATTCTGTCTGCTTTTTTCTTTCTTGAATGGAATTGTGCTGTCATTTCTCCCATGGCCATTCATTGAATGGGTGTTTCTATGGTTACCATGTTATTTCTAGTCAGAATCCTGTCGAGGAGAAACCTGAATTTGGTATCTCAGGAAGTCAAGATTCCCTTGACATCCTATAAAGATACCAATGAATTTCCACAAATCAGCTTCCTGCCTTATTCAGTAAATTAGTTGGGGAGATAGATTGGAAGACATCTTTGGGGTTCAACTCCAGAGTTCTAAAAAATGCACCACAGGAAATAAATGAAATGAGTTACCAATATGTTTGTGTGGCAGTGATGGTCCCAGTGAAATCAAACCAATTTTTCTTTGCCTGCCACTAAGGGGGCCCTGGCATTCTAAGTGTCACCATGCCTCGTTGTTGTACCTAATCATTCTTTAGATTCGGTATGCTGTTTGTTCTTTCTGTTTTATTCTGGGAGCAGAATTACAATTTCAGATGAATATACTCCTACAGTCTAATTTGTTAGCTCACCCTAGAAAACAAATGAACTATGCCTAATGATTGCTATTCAATGAGAACATCAGGAACTGGCTGAGCTACAGCCCAGAGCAGCTAGCTACATAACTTAGAAACATGCCTTACTCCATATGTTCAATTTCTACATGTCTAGAGAATCACTACAAAGACAAAATTTTATTTCCACCTGTGTCATTTTCTTTTTGTGTCCCTTCTTTGATCCTGTCTGATATTCATTCCATTTGTCTCTAAGTTGGCTTCTATTACTCATAATCTACCCAGAGCAAACCATGTGCAGCTGTATCTTTATTGAGTTACGCAGGTAACTCCATATTATTTTTAGAATAAGGAATATTGCAGAATGCAAATTAATTTGCAAATGTATAACGCAAAGAAGAGAAATCTTTCTGCAAAATGCCACCTCTATAAGGTGCCTTATAGTTTCTGTCTTCTAGCTTCCCTCTGTAGGCTAACTCTGTTGGCCCAAATGTTTTTCAGTAGTATCAACTTTGAAATGATTAAGCTTTCGTTCATTTACACCCCCAAGATTTATTAAGCATATGCTATAGGCTGTGTACTCTGCTAGGAATGATAACTGGTTTCCCCTCTCTCCATTCCTCACAGGTCCACCCACACACACACACACACACAACCTCCTCTCCTCCATTGCCTCCTCTCCTCTCTTTCCCCTCAGAAAAGGGCAGACTTCCCAGGGATGTCAACTAAACTCGGCATGCCACGATGTAGTAAGAGTAGGCACAAACCCTCATATGGATGAAGCAACCCAGGAGGAGGAAAAGGGTCTCAAAGCAGACAAAAGGGTTAGAGAAAACCCCCACTCCCACTGTTAGGAGTCTGACAAAAACTCCAAGCTAAACAACTACAGTATGCATGCAGAGGACCTAGTGCAGACAGGTGCAGACTCCGAGATTGCTTCCTCAGTCTTTGTAGATCCCTGTGAGCCCTGCATAGTTGATTTTGTGGGTTGTGTTCTGGTGTCCTCAACCTCGCTGCTCCTACAATCCTTTCTCCCCATCTTCCACATGGTTCCTGTAGCACTAACTAATGTTTGACTGTGGGTCTCTGCCTCTGCTCCCATCAGCTGCCAGAGGAAGCCTCCCTGATGACGACTGGGCTAGGCACTGATGATCATAATAATGGAGTATCATTAGGAATCATTTGGTTCTACCGTATGTGCCCATGGCTGACACTGCCTGGATGACTAGAAACTGGAAGCTGGATAGCCCACTGATCTCTAGTTTTAAGAGAATACTCCAACTCAACAGAAAAGATGATGTCGCAATCATATCATCAGGCAAGATGTTGTCAAACTGCTGAAACAAATGACAGCATAGACATGAAATAATTGCCAATCTCTCTGGATAGCTCTGTCTCCCATTTCCTTGGTGAATAGCTTCATTGATTTCTCATCATTAAGGTTTTTCCTACACTACCTTTCCAATTTTAAAGTAACCTAAAGCATAACACCAACCTTGCTTAAAATCTTCCTTCCTGCAGATGTATTTTATAACCAAACTGCTCTATCTGTCTGGCATAGTTCATTAGCTTCCTGACTAAGATATATGACTTGTTCTGGGTCTGGCTCTGCACTAAGTACCTGATACTTCACAGATAATACATAACAATTGGTGGTGACTGCTTGAGTGTTCATGATCTACATACTGGATTCTGAAACATGTCTTTCATTTTTGTCTCCTAGGGAAAATGGCAAATATTTGTCAGAGTAATTGAGTAATCGAAAAAGTTAGTTTGGCAGTTACTAACCAACTTTGTTTTTAAAGGTTGAAGAGTGGATAGAATCAATGATAAGATGATGGGATTTCCTGGGTCTGGAAAGATAGGAAAATACAACATCTTATGTAGGCCAAAGGACAGGGCAGCTGTTTGGATCCTTATTCAATCAAATATGGATGAAAAGGAAATTGTCATCTAATAATAATTCAGCTAATAAAATGGACTGAGTCATGCACAGTTGGCTCTGAGGCAAATCTCTTCCTGAATATGACTATGGAAATACATTTGTGATTTCTCTCAGCCAAAAATGGCTCAGACTTCCAATTCCTATGAGGAGCTCCCCTAATTTATTTCTCTGATACTGAAATGAAAATGCTAAAGTATAGGGCTCATGGCTGTGTCCCCTGTGGCTTGGTACTCAGACAACAGGAACTGCACCAAGGTAGTCTGAGCAAGGTTCAACATATACTGTGATTATCTCTTGTACAGTACTCTAAACCCGTGGATACTGAGATACTATTACAATATACACTTTAGCTTGTTTGGGAATGATCTATTTTAATTTTAGTGTGTGTGTGCGTGCATGCGCACGTGCGTGTGTGTGCGTGTGTGTGTGTGTGTGTGTGTGTGTGTGTGTGTTTATTCTATATGTGTGCCAGTACCCATGGAGCTGTCAGATTCTCTGGAACTGGAGTTAATGGTGATTGTGACAGTACACCATGCAGCTAAGAAATGAACTTGGTCCTCTGGAAAAGCAGCAAGCACTCTTAACCACTGAATGACCCCTCTAGAACTATTATTTAAAGCATGAATGGACCTCAGAGACCCAAATCTAGGGCTTGTTTCTTGGGAGGTTATGAACCCTGAAAGGAATCTTACTGGAAATAAGTTAAGACATTGGGGACACATCCTTGAAGAGGATATCAGGACTCCAGAACTTCCTCTTTCTCTCTCTTTTTGTTTACACTGGAATTCTTCTTTTATTTCTTCCCCTATTTGTGGGTACCTGAGTGTACTTTCAATCTAAACTCCATGATCCTTATATTGATTCAGTCACATAATTTAACCAACTGGGTACTTTATCTCAGGTATTTGTTGTAGCAACAGTAAGTTGACTGTTACAACAAATGTATAGTCAGAAAGTCAAATGTTCAGGGTTAGAAATAAAACTGAAGTTATGAAGTACATTGGTTGTTTGATAACAAACATTCATATCATCATTTAACTTTCAACTTTCTGATTCATTGTATTCTGTCAGCCTCATTCCCATAATCATTGTTTACACTGGAATTCCTCCTTGTATTTTTTCTATTTCTGCTTATTTGACTATACTTATCATCTAAACTCCATGTATGCTTACGTCTGTACAATATCCCCCATAATCTGACCAAATAGATGAACACATAAACAGCATAAATAGATTAACTTTGAAATACCTTATTTTTCAAATCAGATCAAATCGCATTCAAGTTTGAAGTAATCTATATTGATTTAGGAAGTTAAAAGTTATAAACATACTCTATTTTTAGCTTATAGATAGTAATTTGTATAAAGTGAATAGAACTTAGATCTACAGACATACAGTAATAATGCTCTAGAACTTCATGAATGTATGAGGTAATATTTGGACTACTGACAATAATAGGCTTTGTGGAACATTTGAATTTGGTTCAAGAGCACCCACTTGCTACCTGTACATTACTGTTTACTTTCTACTATGATGTGAGCTGTTGTATGGACTGCTTATGAGCTACAGGTTACAGTAGAAAAAACAAATATCGGAAAGATCAACCTTCAAAACAAGGTGTACACCAAATGTAATTGTTCATGCTTTAACATTTTGCTGCTGGAATACCATGGGCTGATGTATTTCATGGAAGCTTTGGTATTCTCATTCAGTTTATTGGTGAGTGAGGATTCACAGTGGAATATTGTGCTTGTTTCCAAGTAATAAACAAGCATGATAGCTTCTTGGATTGAGAACAGCCACCAGGTAAACAGGAAGAGCTCAGTTAATAGCTTCCACATCAATAGGAACAGCCTGTTACAAAGATGAAATGGAAGGGGGCTTATGGGAATAGTTACATTTATCAAAAATCAGTTCCAAACATTTCTCTCTGTTCAGCTGCACAGCTGGGCAGTCTGTGTTAGTAACATTCAGTTGCATTTACTTCGCTTGAACTTGACTCAAATTATTCTAATTTTCAAAAGGTTTGTGTGTGTGTGTGTGTGTGTGTGTGTGTGTGTGTGTGTGTGTGAGGGGGAGTGTTTTGCCTTCATGTATGTCTGATGTCTGTGCATCACTTCATATATGCCTGGTGCCCACAGAGAGCAGAAGAAAACATTGGATTCCCTGGAACTGGAGTTTCAGATGATGGTGAGCCAGCATGTGGGTGCTGGAAGTTAAACCCAAGCCCTCTGGAAAAACAGCCAGTGCTCTTAACTGCAGAGCTCTCTCTACAGCTCCAACAGTGACTTAAGAAAAAAGCTTTACGAGTGAAGTTTGAGAAAGCACACAAAAAGTTACAAAGAGTAACTTCCATGAAGCTCTCCAGTCTTTGTGTTTACTAATACCTATCTGCAGAAAACAAAGCCAAAACCAAATACAAAACCCTTAAACTGATTTTCATGTCTCAGTAATTCTTATTATCTGCTAATTGTTTGGGGGCCTAGCCAAAAGACAAAATATATTAAATATGTCAAACTTGTATAGTGTTGTAAATTTGCAGTATATTACTACCAAGGATCTGTAATATGGTTAATTTTTTCTCAGTATATGTTTTTATTTAAATAAGAAACATGCATGCTACACATGTCAATCCCAGCTACCTCTCCCACCCCTCCTCCTTGTCCCTCCATCAGTCCACCCTACCAGTCCCTCACCCAAAATCCCCACATAATTCCCAAGGGAGGGTGAGGCCCTCCTTGGTGGGATCTCCAGAGTCTGTCATTTCATCCAGGGCAGGACCTAGGCCCTTCCACGTGTGTCCAGGCTGAGAAAGCATCCCTCCATGTGTAATGGGCTCCCAAAGTTCATTCATATGCCATGGTAAACACTGATCTACTACCCAAGGCCTCAGAGATTTCTGAGGCCTCCTCTCTGACACTACATTCAGGGAGTCTGGATCAGTCCCCTGTTGGCCTCTCAGCCATCAGTCTGGAGTTCAGGAGCTCACCCTTGTCCAGTCAGCTGTTCTATGTGGGTTTCACCAGCACAGTCTTGACCCTTTTGCTCATCACTCCTCCATTTCTATCACTGGGTTCCAGGAGTTCAGTTCAGTGTTTAGCTGTGGATATCTGTCTCTGCTTCCATCAGTCTTTGGATGAAGGTTCTAGGATCGCATATAGGGTAGTCATCAACCTTATCATCAGGGAGGGGCTATTAATGTAGTCTCTCTGCCATTGCTTAGTTTTCCAGTTGGTGTTGTCCTTGTAGATCTCTGGAAATCTTACTAGTGTCAGCTCTCTCCTCAAGCCTATAATGACTCGATCTATTATAGTATCTTTCATCCTGCTCTCCTCTATTCTTACCTCAACTCTACCTTCCTGTTCCCCTATGCCTTCTTCTCCCCTCCTCTTATCCCCCTCTCTTTTTCCTGTGCCCTCTCCCCTCCCCCAATGTTCCCAATCTGCTCAGGAGGTCTTGCCTCATTCCACTTTTCTGGGATATCATGCATATCTCTTGGGAACCTCCCTGTTTCCCAGACTCACTGGCACTGGGATTGTAGGCTGGCACTCCCCTGATTCATGTCTAAAATCCATATATGAGTGAGCACATACTATGTTTGTCTTTTTGTGATTGGGTTACCTCACTCAGGATAGTTTCTTCTAGTGCCATCCATTTGCCTGCAAATTTCAAGATCCCATTGCTTTTTTTTCCACTGAGTAGTACTCCATTGTGTAAATGTACCACATTTTCTCTATCCACTCTTCAGTTGTGGGGCATCTAGGTTGCTTCCAGGATCTAACTATTACAAATAATGCTGCTATGAACATAGTGGAACAGACATCCTTGTTGTACGAATGTTCATCTTTTGGGTATATGCCTAAGAGTGGAATTGCTGGGTCTTGTGGTAGACTAATTCCCATTTTCCTGAGGAATCTCCATATTAATTTCCAAAGTAGCTGTATGAGTTGGCACTCCCACCAGCAGTGGATGAGTGTTGCCTTTTCTCCATATCCTCTCCAGAATAAACTGACATTGGTGTGTTTGATTTTAGCCATTCTGACAGGAGTAAGATGGTATCTCAGAGTTGTTTTGATTTGCATTTCCCTGATAGCTAGGGATGTTGAACACTTTCTTAAGTGTCTCTCAGCCACTTTAGACTCCTCTATTGAAAATTCTCTATTTAGTTCTGTACCCCAATTTAATTGGATCTTCGACAAAGAAGCTAAAATTAAACAATGGAAAAAAGATAGCATCTTCAACAAATGGTGCTGGCATAACTGGATATTGGCAGATAGATCCATGTCTGTCCCCATACACAAAACGTAAGTCCAAATGGATCGAAGACCTCAACATAAATCCAGCCACACTAAACCTGTTAGAAGAGAAAGTGGGAGGTACCCTTGAAGAAATTGGTACAGGAGACTGCTTCCTGAACATAACACCAGTAGCACAAACACTGAGATCGACAATTAATAAATAGGACCTTCTGAAACTGAGAAGCTTCTGTAAGGCAAAGGACACAGTCAGCAAGACAAAAAGGCAGCCCACAGATTAGGAAAAGCTATTCACTAACCCCACACCTGACAGAGGGCTGATCTTCAAAATTTACAAAGAACTCAGCAAACAAGTCTCTAAAACACCAATTAAAATTGTGGTTAATTTTTAAAATAGTACCTGCCGCTGATCCTATCAAATAATGGGACACTGGCCAGCATTTCCTTTCCAACCTTTACATGTCCATGGCCTGGAGAACATTTCAGGAATCCCAGGACACATGGAATGAAATGTAATCTTATTGTTATCTCCCAGAAAGTTCTTGGACTTTTTCATTTAATTAAACCAACATTATTGATCATGATAGACTGAGTGTACCCTGCTGAACAAAGTGTAAGGTTCTCTGACTTCCTTGAATATCTGATCCAGCAGGAATTTGAATAAAACTGGCCTTCATGAGCTTCCCAGAACTGACCGGAACATGCAGGGGGCCTGCTTAGGATTCTCACTCAAGTTCAATAAACGTTTGTCTTAGTGAGGTTTCTCTGTGGAGGACACAGAACAGTTTCCTGTCCTTTGTTGCTGTTTTAGTTACGTGGATCTTGCTGTGAGGTTGTTCATCCCATATGAAATACAGAGCAACAAAACAGCTAAACCAGGTGCAAAAGGAATGTTCTACTTCTTGCTAGTTCTCAGTGTAATACGCGAATTCCATTAAATTTTGTCTTTACCATCTATGATTTTAGAAACGACTGTTGTTGCCTGCAGCATGGTCTAATTCGGCTCAGGCTGTGAGACTTGGAAAACTATGCAGAGATCTGAGTAGTAATCACAGTGACCTAGCATGATTTCTTTTTTTAGTCTTTTCCCTAAAGCTGATCTTTGGCTGTAGGCCAAAGTACATGGGACTTGCAGGTGTTTCTATGTAAAAATGAAGTAGGCTTTCGGTCTCGACTTCTCCAATTTGCAGACCATCTTTATTTTGTATATTGATACAAGAGATGTCTATTTTAAACGTTTGTTTTACTTTACTATTTGGCAGAGCAGATTGTCAAAGGATTGATATTTTTAAAGTGCTTTAAAATTGCTTTTAAAAACACCTGAGAGTTTTATAAATTTTAAGGCAAAAGTTTCCTTGTGTTCTGAATATCTTGCATTCATTAAAGCACTGATCTCTAGTAAATACGAAAATTGGCATATTGGGAAAGATTAGAAACAGCTTGAGACAAAATTGTGAGCAATTTTGCTTCATGGCTAATAATGACAAGATAAAGTCGATGACTAACAGCTGATGAATTTCCATGACTGTCTATAAAGATGAAGGGGTGGGTCAGCCATGACCCAAGTAACTTCCAAAAATAGGGGAATCTAGGACACCTCATAGCCAGGGTTACCTGGCAAGAAGATTTTTGACCCACTGGGAATATGGGGTCACTGGAAAGAATTTGTAAAGTGTGGGACTGTCCAAGTTTTACATATATAGTATAAGCATTGCCTTGATCCACAACTTGAAATATGCTTGTTGCAGACATTTAAATTGTAGATGAACTAACAGCATTATCACTTCCGAATCAAAACTCTGCCTGCCCTCATGGCCCACAGATCCATTCAGCTGTTGCCCTCAACAGGCAGTCAAAGCTTTGTGTTGGATGGCTTTGCAAAGAGGTCTTTGTGTTTTCCATTTGAGGGTGTGTATGTGTGTTGTTTTGTTCCCCTATGCCCAAGAGCAAGTGACACTAGCTACTCCAAGTCTCTCCACTGCTCAGTCCTTCCTCTATTAGTGTCTCTTCTTTGGGGGTTTGGAAGATAGCTGTTTCCATGACTGTGCAAGAAATCAGCCTGTAATGGCCTTCTGTGGAAGCAGGAACCATTCTCCTGTGGCCAACCAATTATAC